TCTCTCAACACTGAATCTTTAGATAAGATTGTGTCTGTTCATCAAGCTCTTTACTTCCTTTATCTAAAAGTGAACTTAGAGTCAACCTCCATTCTGCTAGATGGTCTCATTACCTCTTCCTTGTGATGTCATCTAAGTGTGGAATAAGAATGAAGGTGGGGCTAGTTATATGGAGAGTTGGATTTGGTCTTCTCAGTGGTGTGTACTGTCCACCGTGGAATGCACTGAGATTGCTTAGGTCTATCTGGTCTTTGGTTTCATTTCCACATAGATGCTGACATAACTTCCTTGTCCCTTCCTTGCCTCCATTCTTTTACCCCTCTATTGCTTTGTCCATCTGGTTCTTCAGCTGACAATCCCCTCCCTCCTCTTGGACTGGGAGATCTTCCCTGACTCCCAATTAGATTGTTTTCCATTTCTGTTTCCCACATTCATTACACTTTGTAGCCACTTGCCCCATGGCCATCTTCTCCCAGAATGTAAGCACTGAGAGGGGCTGTTTTCTTCTTTCTAGCATCCCAGCACTGAGAACAGTGTAGTCAGAATAAATATTCAACTATATTACTAGTGTTATTCTAACTGAAAATTCATTACTGAAAATAACGGTGAACATAATTATTAGAAAACCTAAGAAACTTCCTTTCCCAAAAGGAACAAGTGGTTATTTGATCTCTGGTGAATATTTGTACTCGCCCATTCACAATTTAAATCCTGAATTTTAAGTCTGTTGTCAAATTTGTACTTCATCAGATCTATAATCCAGGCTGACTTCACGGCCCTACTGACATTTGGGCTGACTCATTTTATTTGACTGTTTGAGGTTAGCTTCCACAGCTGTTACTGCACTGTACTGTCAGTTATTTACTTTTTAGATCAGAGTTTAAATGATTTGGAAGAAGAAAACAAGGAAATAAAAACAGTGAATGTGATTTGAGGCTATATTCTCAAGTTTTTAACTTGTCCTCAGTGAATACAATTTCACTATGTGATCTTTGAAAATAAAACACAGGTTTTCCCCAAATGCTAAAAACTAAGGTAGTACATTTAGGCTTTACTCCATTCATTCAACAAATGTTCACCAGACATTAGGATTGTGATGAGTGCTGTGGTGGTGTTATATTTTAATGTATTTATAGTGTGTTTTGATTCTCTACTTCTTGTTTCCCTGGGATCCTTTACACAACAGGTGGACATGCTACTTGTATGTGTCAAAGAAAGATTTTTACAGGAGGAAAAAAAAATTCTAGGACTTTAAGCTTCAAATTCTAAGCCCTGATTTAGGGCATAATATTATTAAAACCCATGTAATAAGCTGGAACTTTTTTTACCCTCAGATTAGATCAATGCCAACTATTTATATAACAATCCAGGCTAAAAGAAGAGAGGAGAGGGACAGAATAGGAAGATGGGAAAGAGAAGAAAGTGGAAAGGAGGAAAGAGGGAAAGAGAAGGCAAAGTAAGAGAAAATGAAAGGGTGAGATGTTGGGGAATCTCCCACTGAGGGCCATGGGCTAGATCTCCCTGGCCCCTAGATGAAAAGTTACAGGGGAGGGGCGAGGAATGATGCTTCCGAGGTAGGGCACCAGGGGCTGAGGGGCCCAGAAGTCACACTGAGGAGTTTCGTCTTTGATTTTTTGGAGGTGCAAGCACATTCAGTGTTATCAGTTAGACAATAGCATGATAGATTGGTATTTTTAGAAAGTTACCCTCTGCTGCTGGAGATACATGGGTCAGTGACCCACTGATAAAGTAGTAATCCAGGAGAAAAGCTCTGAGGGTCTGCCCTGGGGCTAGAGGTGGGGAGGTGGTAGTAGGACTAGAATAAAGGCAGCAGATTTGAGCACCTTTAGGAGCAAGGAGCAATGGGAAGCAGAGACTTACAGAGGGTGGGGGCAAGGAAGACAGGGAGGGAATGGAGGAGGATGCCAGATTTATGGCTTCAGGATGTGTTCATTTTTAAATATCCTTGTTTATTTTTCACAATATATTGCATATGTGTTTGGCGGTTATGTTCTTAGCTGTGTGTCCCTGGGGGACCAGATTTGCTGCAGGATGGGAAAAAGGGCATGTTTAGTTTGAGTCACCTGCAAGACTGCCTAATTGAGATGTAAAAGAGCTCAGAAACTAAGCAGAGAAATCACATAAATCCACTTCTCAGGGGCAGAAGAGCTCTTTAGGTTTGCAAAAGTGAACAAGGCATTGTGTTTGGAAAATTATAGAAACATGAGGTAGAAAGTCAGCAAAGGCAAAAGTACAGACATTTAGAAATCTAGAAAGATGTTTAGGTGAGAGTACTAATTTAAAAGTGGACAGCAAGGAGAAAAATTCACTTTAAACTTTATATATTGTAAAAAATAATTTTGTCTTTTAGTCACTCCTTTTGTTGAAAACCGTGATTCATAATAAAAGCTGCTTAAGAAGTTATCTAATAAGCATATTTATGAGAAAGAGGAAGTACATCAATTTTCCTCTCCTAATGTCAGGAGATCAGGTTTGTAAAGCGAGAGAGACAACTTGTTAATGTGATGGCATCTTAAATCTCTTTAGATTTTTCTATACCTTTTAGGCAGCTTCCTCTTCATGTCCAGTTAAATGGGATGTTATCCATCCCCTTTCTCCCCTTAGGTTGAAAACAAACCTAATGCCCCATGCATGTAGGAAAATGTTTCACTAGTTAAGAGAATTCTCATTTCCTAAAGACCACAGGATCCACAACTCCATCTGTTGTTATGTTGCCTTAGTCACTGCCATATTTGTA